ACAGAGCAGGGGCCTGGCAAGGTAGCAGTACACAAGGAGAGGGAGTGCTCACTGCTAATATACAGAAATACAGTTGGCTTTTGGCTATTGTTCTTATATCCTGCTACAATGCTGAACGTAGTAGTTCTAGCTTTTTAAGAAGATGCCCTGTACACAAGATCTCACATGATCTGCACACAGAGACGGTTTTACTTCTTACTTTCCGATCTGGACATCTTTCATTTCTTCTCCCTGAATGGCTGCCCAGGCTACATTTCAGGCTCAATGCTGCATGGAAGTACACAGAGCAAACATGCTTGTCTCCTGCCTCACTGCTGAGCTTAGGGGAAAGCATTCCATCTTTCTGCATCAAATCAGCTGTGGAAGTTTTGTAGCTGCTCTTTACTGAATTGAGCAACTTCCCTTCTATTGTTGAATGCTCTTTATCATGAAAGGATGTTGGATTTTGGCAAATGCTATCACTTTGCCTACTGAGATGGACACATGGCATTTGCCTTTTTTCTTTAAAACAGTACGTTATGGTGATTTATTTTCAAACGCTAAGCCAACATTCCTGGGATAAATTTCACCAGATCACACTGTAGAATGCTTTTTTATGTTGTTAGATTAGGTTTGCTATTATATTTTGTTGAGGACTTTAACATCTGTATTTATAGGCGATACTGGTTTGTAGTTTTCTCATGTCATTGACCTCACAAAAGGAAGTTCGAAGTACTGAATTTCATTCTATTTTTTTGAAAACCTTTCTGAAGAATTGATATGAATGAAAAACTCATTATTAAACACATTTTCAAACATATCTAAAAACCAGTAAGAACAGTATCACAAGCCCCTGTTCATCCTTCTACCCAACTTTGGTAATTATCAACTGTCTGCCTTTCTTATTTTACCTGTAGCTCTTCTCCAATGTTTCACTCTTTTGAGAGCGAAATTATTTTAAAGCAAATTCCAGACATATCACTTCACCTGACATACTTTAACACACCTCTCCAACAGAAAAAGATCTTAAAAAAAAAAAAAATCACAGGGGCCGGTGCTGTGGTGTACCAGGTAAAGCTGCCTGTAGTGCCGGCATCCCATATGGGCACTGGTTAGAGTTCCAGCTGCTCTACTTCCGATCCAGCTCTTTGCTATAGCCTGGGAAAGCAGCAGAAGATGGCCCAAGTCCTTTGGCCTCTGCACCCACATGGGAGACCCAGAATAAGCTCCTGGCTTCTGGCTTCAGATCAGCTCAGCTCCAGCCATTGCGGCCATCTAATGCGCGAACCAGCAGATGGAAGACCTCTCTCTCTCTCTCTCTCTGTCTCTGACTCTCTGTAGCTCTGCCTTTCAAATAAATAAATGTTTTTTTTTTTTAAAATAATAATTTAATTATTTCCTAATATTATCTAATATCAAGACCAAGCTCAAATCTTCCCAAATGTTTCAAAAATGATTTTTAGAATTATTTTGAATCAGCCAGCTAATCCTCCGCCTATGGCGCCGGCACACCAGGTTCTAGTCCTGGTCAGGGCACCAGATTCTGTCCCGGTTGCCTCTTTTCCAGGCCAGCTCTCTGCTGTGGCCAGGGAGTGCAGTGGAGGATGGCCCAAGTGCTTGGGCCCTGCACCCGCATGGGAGACCAGGGGAAGCACCTGGCACCTGGCTTTGGATCAGCGCGGTGCACTGGCTGCAGCGGCCATTGGAGGATGAACCAACGGCAAAGAAAGACCTTTGTCTCTCTCACTGTCCACTCTGCCTGTCAAAAAAAAAAAAAAAATTACTGTGAATCAAGATTCAAATAAGGCCCAAAACTGTATTTAGTTTATGTGACTCTTTGAATAAAACATCCTCCTTCTCTCTTTTCTCCCCACGCCATTCACTTATGTGATGGGAAAAAAGTCAGTCTACCTGTAAAGATTTTCCATGGCTCAGTTTTGGCTGTTGAACCCTCATAAGTCTGTCTAGCTTGCTCATCTATCCTTTATACTCCTTTAAACTGCGAGTGAGATCAGGACTGAGGTTGCTGTGAACTTACTACTGCATCATGTTAGAGGACTTAACAGCCACCCCCTGTATCTATTGGTTTTAGCAAATATTGACAATTTGTCACTAGGTCCATTATTTCAGTATAAGTTACAAAATGGTGACTTTCTAATTCTTTCAGTTCTTCTAAGACCAGGAATTCGACCTTCACATTTCGAAACCTGAGGTCTGTGATCCCCAGGTAGAGTAGAACAGTCTCCAGGTGCCACTGTGGAAGCTCTGTGGGGTTTCTGCTTGTCACAGTGGTTGCAGAGCCCTCCTAGTGTCTATAAGCAGAGACCAGAGAGGCTGGATGCTCTACAATTCACAGCAGAATCCTGCAAAATGAAGAATGACCTGCATCCCACACAACTTTTCTTTTTTTAAAAGGTTTTTTTGTTTTCTTTGTTTTTGACAGGCAGAGTGGACAGTGTGAGAGAAAGACAGAGAGAAAGGTCTTCCTTGTCTGTTGGTTCACCCTCCAAAGGCCGCCATGGCTGGCGTGTTGCGGCCTGCGCATCACGCTGATCTGATGGCAGGAGCCAAGTGCTTCTTCTGGTCTCCCATGGGGTGCAGGGCCCAAGCACTTGGGCCATCCTCCACTGCACTCCTGGGCCACAACAGAGAGCTGGCCCGGAAGAGGGGCAACTGGGACAGAATCCGTCGCCCTGACTGGAACTAGAACCTGGTGTGCCGGCGCCGTAGGCGGAGGACTAGCCTATTGAGCCACGGTGCCGGCCCCACACAACTTTTCAATACTGTGTTAGAAACTCAGAGGTATAGGGGCCGGTGTTCTGGTGCAGTAGATTAATCCTCCACCTGTAGTGCAGGCATCCCATATGGGCACCAGTTCTAGTCCCAGCTTCTCCTCTTGCAATCCAGCTCTCTATGGCCTGGGAAAGCAGCAGAAGATGGCCCAAGCACTTGGGTCCCTGTGCCAGCATGGGAGACCTGGAGGAAGCTTCTGGCTCCTGGCTTTGCACCAGCTCAGCTCTGGTTGCTGGGGCCATGTGGAGAGTGTAAAAGAGGATGGAAGACCTTTCTCTCTGTCTCTCCCTCTCACTATCTGTAACTCTACTTCTCATAAATTAAAAAAAAAATCTTAAAAAAAAAAAAAAAGAGGGGCCAGTGCTGTGGCATAGTGGGTAAAGCTGCCACCTGCAGTACTGGCATCCCATATAAGCGCCAGTTAGAGTCCTGGCTGCTCTACTTCCAATTCAGCTCTCTGCTGTGGCCTGGGAAAGCAGTGGAAGATGGCCAAGTCTCTGAGTGGGAGACTGGAAGACACTACTATCATCTAGCTTTGGATTGGCTCAGCTTCAAATGCTGTGGCCATCTCGGGAGTGAACCAGCAGATGGAAGACCTCTCTCCCTCTCTCTCTCTCTTTCTCTGCAACTCTGCCTTTCAAATAAATAAAATAAATCAAAAAAAAAAGAAAAAAAAAAGAAATTCAGAGGTATAAAGTCTACAGAACTTACCCTAGTTTACAATCATTTAACATATAAAACAAAGTTTATTTTCCACCATTTTAATATATTTGTCCAGGAATGTAACTATGGTTTTAATTGATGAAATACTGTCCAACCACTATTTTGTTCACTACTTCCTTAACAGCTGTTTATCATTTCAAAAAAGTATTGGTAACAGCAATACAGTTTTGTGGTATTTGAGTTGATGATACAAAATATCTATACAAGCCAGTTTTTTGTCATATCAAATTTAAGCTCATTCCACAGAGGTATGAATGTCTGTTTTCCAATGCAATCATGTTCAGACAACTATACATGGAAATAGACATTATCTTATTAACCTATTTTTAATAGTAAATATTCAACTATGTTAGGACTTTATATTATTGTTTAGAAATGTCTATTAGGTAAGTTAGATTATCTAGGAATTCTGTTTCAATATAGTAAAAGATAGTTCACAGAATATCTGCTTTGATATGGGCAATAGATCTATAAGAGCTGTGAATTAGTATTTACTTCAGGACTAAATATCTTCCCCATTTTGTTGCTGCTTAGGTCTTATCCTTTAAACTTGTCACTGTACTATGATTAGAGAGCACTGTGCACGGAGTGAAGACTCCTGACCTTAGTCCTGGCTCTGCCTGTTTCTCAGTGGCTGGGGACTGTAGACAGGGCAGGTAATCTTACCTCTGTTCCCATATGTAAAATAAGGAGGTTGGACCAGACAAGTTGTTCCCAACCTCTTCAATAAATTTTAGCATTTTCTGTTCTCTCGACAGGACCCAGTATTTTCAAAGATTTTGTCAAACTGACTTGCCAATTGTTACTTGTAATAGTTAATATGATTTTCCATTTTAAACTAACCAAAGGGATACGACTGCAAACAGAATAAAATAACAATAGCTGTGAATATTTATCGAGTGCTTGCTCATTATGTGACCCACAGGGAACCATGCCCCCTAACCCCATCAATGCCACCCTTACTACCCACTGTGGAATTCAAACTGGGAAGTACTGTCTCAGCTACTGAGACTTATCCCCCTCCTTAGGGCAGAAGTCTTTAGTCCTAATGCTGCCATCCTAATCTGCAAAGACGTTGGATGTGACCTGCTCACACCCCATGTTGTTTGGAAAAACTTCTGAAATTGTTAGTGGTCAGGGGACTACCCCCTTCCCTCAAAGGTCTTCTGTATCTGTGCATTTTCCCAAAAAGCCTGGGTTTCCAAAAAATCACCTAGGCAGCAACTGTGGACTATTGCACACTAGCTTGAGCACTGACTGGTTCCCTTGGGCAGTCGCAGGGCTCTGTGAGGCCTTGAGAAAGGAGGCCAGCAGCCTTCAAGTGCTAGAAGTTGGGGTGACTAGTTCTAGTGGAAGAACTCACTGCTTCCTCCCTCCACTGAGACAGGGAAGACTCTGTTGAAGACACACGAGGATGCGGGAGGGAGTCAAGCAGCAGAAAGGGACGAGATGTCCAGAATCCATGTGCAGAAGAGGGGGATGCCCGCTGGGGGCGGGGTACTCACCAGGGAGGCTGGCGGCTGGTATGAGGGTGGTGTGGAGGAATCCGGAGTGGGTCCACCTCGCTGGCGGTGGCAGGGGGAAACTCCCGAGGGGGACTGTTTACGTTAGCCTTGTCCCACTGCTCATGGATAGGCGTGATGATTCCTGACACGATGCGAGACCGCAGCTCCTCACTGTTCTTGTAGGTCCTGTAGGGAGCAGATGAGGAGTCAACTGCTTGCTGCTGGCTGCCACGCCTCTGTGCAGTATTGTAGTGGCGGCCACGGCGGCTGCCCTGACGGCTCTTGGCACTGCGCTTAGTCTGTCTGCAAGGGTGGATATGGGCCGTCCGGCGGACCTGTGTGAGGGGGGCAACAGCCCGGCGCTGTCTCCGAGATTTGGGCCTAAGCTTCTTAGGCATCTGAGTTGCCCCTCCTCCATTACCACCCCATTAGAAAGAGGTGAGGGTGTAGGGGCACAGGGCCTGGACTGGCTACTCCCCTGACCCTACCCCACCCCTCCCTCAGCTTCATTGTGTGTTCATCACGTGTCATGGGGAGGGTCATGGAAGGCCAAGGGTCTCTGGGGAAGATGAGGTAGGTTTCTGGTCCGGGTAGGCAGGGCTCTGGAGGGTTAAGGTCCAGTGTGTCACTAACTCAGGGGTTCTTGGAAGACTGCCCATACCATCTGTCCCATCCTGCCTGGGCCTCTTTTCTCTGCCTGTGAGAGACAAGAAACATGAGCTACAGCTCAGATACTGAAGTGGCCCAGGGAACAAAGAGTAGGCAGGACTCCAGGGTTCCTAAAACTCTGGTATTTTAAAGTGAGTCATATCCTATGTCACAAAGCAACTTCACAACTGAAATCCTACAGGGGATAATCTGACCGTGTAGAATCAGATTAGAAAACAACCCAGAAAGGAAGTCTCTAAATATATGGAAATTAAGCAACACCTTTCTAGATAATCCATGGATCAAGAGAGAGTAGCATGAAATTAAAATGAAAATACACCATATTAAAGTAGGTGAGGCCGGCGCCGCAGCTCAGTAGGCTAATCCTCCGCCTAGCGGCGCCGGCACACCGGGTTCTAGTCCCGGTCGGGGCGCCGGATTCTGTCCCGGTTGCCCCTCTTCCAGGCCAGCCCTCTGCTGTGGCCAGGGAGTGCAGTGGAGGATGGCCCAGGTGCTTGGGCCCTGCACCCCATGGGAGACCAGGAAAAGCACCTGGCTCCTGGCTCCTGCCATCGGATCAGCGCGGTGCGCCGGCCGCAGCGCGCCGGCCGCGGCGGCCATTGGAGGGTGAACCAACGGCAAAGGAAGACCTTTCTCTCTGTCTCTCTCTCTCACTGTCCACTCTGCCTGTCAAAAAATAAAAAAAAAATAAAAAAAAAAAAAAAAAAAAAAAAAGTAGGTGGGATACAGCTGGTGAGAATAAACCCCACAGCACTAAATAATTAAATTAGAAAAAGACTTCAAACCAATAATCAAAATTTTGACCTCAAGAACCTGGAAAAAGAACAAATTGAACTCAAAGCAAGCAGAAGTAAAGAAATAACAAAGAGGGGGCCAGAGCTGTGGCATAGCAGGTAAAGCCGCTGCCTGCAGCACCAGCATGCCATACAGGCATGGGTTTGGGTACTGGCTGGCTGCTCTGTTTCTGATTCAGCTCCCTGCTAATGCACCTAGAAAGCAGTGGAAGATGGTACAAGTCCTTGGGCCTCTACATCCATGTGGGAGACCTGGATGAAGCTACTGACTCCTGGCTTCGGCCTGGCCCAGCTCCGACTGTTGCAGCCATTTGGGGAGTGAACCAGCAGATGGAAAATCTCTCTCTCTGCCTCTGAATCTCTTTCTCTGCAACTCTAACTTTCAAATAAATAAAAAAAAAATCTTAAAAAAAAGAAATAATAAAGAGCAGAAACTAAGGAAAACAGGAAAATAGAGAAAATTAACGAAACACTTTAAAGCTGGTTATTAAAAAAGAAGAGTAATGTTGACAAACCTCTATAAGACTGGCAGATACCAAGTGAGAAGACACAACTCAGCACCACAGAGAATGAAATAGGGAGGCCAGCGCTGTGGTGTAGCGGGTAAAGCTGCCGCCCGCAGTGCCAGCATCCTATATGGGTGCCAGTTGGAGTCCCGGCTGCTCCATCCAATCCAGTTCTCTGCTATGGCCTGGGAAAGCAGTGGAGGATGGCCCAAGTCCTTGGGCCCCTGCACCCACGTGGGAGACCCGGAGGAAGCTCCTGGCTCCTGGCTTTGGAATGGCCCAGCTCCAGCTGTTATGGCCAGCTGGGGAGTGAAGCAGCAGATGGAAGACCTCTCTCTCTCTCTCCCTCTCTCTCTGCCTCTCCTTCTCTCCCTGTGTAACTCTGACTTTCAAATAAATAAATAAATCTTTAAAAATAAAAAGAATGAAATAGGATATTCTAACAGATCTGGAGCCACTCAAAGGACAACTGAATACCAAGAACAGCTCAATCCAACAGCTCAGAACAGACAATTCTTCCAAAATTATTTAACAGGAAAAATCAAATAGAAAAATTTAAATGGTTTTATTAAAGTAACTGAAATCGTACCTAAACCCCCCAAAAAGATAAAATATCCAGGCCCAGAGTATTTCAGTAGAGAAATCTGCCAAATATTTAAAGAAGTCACATCAATTTTACTTTTAGAAAACAACAGGAGGGGGCTCCCAAATAATTTTATGGAGCCAGTATCACTCTGATATCAAAATTAAACAAAGACAATATAAAACAAAACTACACATTAGCATCTCCCATGAACTTAGAAGCAAAACCCTTCACCAAAATACAGACCCAAACTGTATAAAAAGAATTATACAAGATCAAGAATTTATCCAAGGCATGCAAGGCTAGTTCAATCTTCACAAACCAATAAATGTAATCAACTATATCAATAAGCTAAATCATCATCATATGATTGTATCTACTGATGCAGAAAAAAAGTGTTAGATAAAACCAACACGATAAATCCATTCATGACAAAAACACTAAACTAACAAGAAAGAGGAATTATAACAGAGTGGAACTTATTATTCACCTCAATTTACTAAACATCTACAAAAATCTACTTCAATTCAAATGGTGAAAAAAGCTAACAGTATCTTCAAAGGTGAAAAATGGAATACTCTGCTCTAAATGGAGTACTCTGCTCTAGGACTAGGAACAAGACAAGGATGTTCTCTTTCATTACTCTTATTTAACAAATACTGGAAGTTCCAGGCATTGTATATGGCAAGAAAAAGAAAAGGCATACAGATCAGAAAGTAAGGAAGAAAACTGTCTCTATTAGCAGTTGATACTATAGTCCTGAAGTTTCTTTTTTTTTTTCCTATGGAATTTACATAGACAACCTCCTGGACAACTTTGAGTTCAGCAATGTGACAGGATACAAGATCAGTTATACTTCTGTATGCTAACAATAAATATTTTTTTACTTTATTAAAATACTGAGTTTATTTCACATGTATGTTTGTCTCACCACTATTTCCACATCTGACCACTGCTACTACTGTGTACTATCATAACATTCTATACATAGTTAAAACCAAGCAAAGGGTAGAGTTCCAACTTTAAAAACTAAACAGGCATTTTGGACAACATGTTCTTGGCAATGGACTTTGGACAACAGTTATCAAACACTTCTGGGAAAGTTCTCACTCTGCATTATAAAAAGGACAGCCAGATATCAACTGTTACATAAATGAAATAAGATGGAAACTGTTTAAACTATTTTTTTTTTTTTTTTGGACAGGCAGAATGGACAGTGAGAGAGAGAGAGAGAGAGAGAGAGAGGTCTTCCTTTATCGTTGGTTCACCCTCCAATGGCCACAGTGGCCGGTGCGCTGTGCTGATCTGAAGCCAGGAGCCAGGTGCTTCTCCTAGTCTCCCATTGGGTGCAGGGCCCAAGCACTTGGGCGATCCTCCACTGCACTCCCTGGCCACAGCAGAGAGCTGGCCTGGAAGAGGGGCAACTGGGACAGAATCCAGTGCCCCGACCGGGACTAGAACCTGGTGTGCCAGCGCCGTAGACAGAGGATTAGCCTATTGAGCCACGGTGCTGGCCCAAACTATTTTCTTAAAAAGACTTCTTGCACTGCCAAAGATCTTGAATGGCCTCTTGGTTAGTCATCCGGAAGCAATTCTTCACATAATTGATGAATTTGGCTTTCATTCTGGGAAGAGAACCACCTTTTTCTATACTTGCTTGCATTTTTGCTTTAATGTCTTCTACAGAACTAGTTCCTTCTTGTGTTTCAGGAATTTTTGCTGTTTTTTGAAGGATTCTTGACCTTTTGATCTTGGTTTTGATTCTTCCATTCTGGTTTGATTTCTGTGCATTTTTGGCTGAAGTATCCCCTATAGATTTCTTCACTGGAGCTTTTTCTTCAGTTTCCTAATCACCAAAATCATCATCATCATCATCATCTTCGTCAGAAGCAGGTTTTACTTTATTCTGTGGTACCTTGCTGCCACCTCCGGGGCAGACCGTTTTCCAGATACACTTAAAAGCTTCACGTCTTCTGACTCTGTATCTTCCTCCACAGCTACTAAGTGCTGTCCACTAATATGCACAGGCCCTGAACCACACTTCAAGCTTAAGACCGCAGGTGGTGTTATTTCAAAGCCCCCAAGGGAAACCATTGGCTATACAGACATTTTCAGTGTTGCCAGTGTTACTTTAATTGGACTGCCTTCATAATTCATTGCCTCTGCTTCAACAATGAGCAGTTCATCTTTTGCACCAGCACCTAAACTGACCGTTCTTAAAGATAGCTGGTGCTCATTTTCATCATTGTCCACTTCAAAGTGATAATCTTTGCTGGTCTTTAGTTCACAACTGAAATGACAGTTCCATGGCCTCAGGGAGCTTGTGTCCATGTCATCGAATCCTCCATGGGGTGGAGGGACGAACTTCAGTGGGAAAGAAGGTGGATGGAGATAAGACACCCACTGCTGCAAAGAACAGCTGAGGAGGAAGGAATCATGCCAGGGAACAATAAACATTTGAACACCAAAACTAAGAATTGAGCTTCTTTTATGATCACACCCTTCCCTCTTTTTGTTTTTTAAGATTTATTTATTTATTTATCTGAAAGGCAGTTACAGCAAGACAGAAGCAGAGAGAGAGAGATATCTTCCATCTGTTTGTTCAATCCCTAAATGGGTGCAGCAGCTGGAGTT